CAAGAAATGCGTTGTAAAATCGAGTAAAATGCATTTCATTGAAAATCATCGATGGAGAAATGTTCTTCAAACACATATTTTGCTATTTGAGGTCACTGATGCCAGGTCAGGTCACAGAGGTCAGGTCACTGGGGGGTCACAATATGAAAGTGTCGTGTGATACATGTTTTATGGTCCATTTTACATGACAAATGCGATTATGTGGGTCAGACAGACTTTAGGGCCAGCTTAGGTCACGTTTTGGTCAAGGTCAGGTCAAGGACAGGTCAAGGTCAGGTCAAATTAGGTCAAATTTCAAAGTTGATATTTTTGCATAAAATGGGTATCGATTCGATGCAGCTCGTCACGGGGAGTTCAATGGTGGTCTCCGTTTTGCGCTACAAGGTCTAGAATTGCTAAAAATTGAGTTCAAATATTTGACGTCATCAATTTTTAACAGTTTTTTCGCTATAACTTGGCAAAAAAAAAAGAGGTATCGATCTAAAATTTGGTATGTATATCGAAGAGCGCAGGACTATCACATATATTCCGGTTTTTTCGAAATTCGAAAATTGTTTGGAAATTTTTTGTGTTTTTCTAAAAAAAAATCAATTTTTTGATTTTGGGGGGTCAAAATCCCAAAATTTCGAAAATCCGAGATAGCAGTTTTGTAGCGCCGTCTTTTCTCTACACAACCACATAAAGAACTTTAAAATTGCTTGTTAACTGTAGAATTGGTGAGCGTTTCAAGATGTCATGTTTTTTGCTCATTTTTGCTCGAACATGACCTCAGTTTGACCTCAATAACTCCTGACCTGAGGTGACCTGTGACTTGAAATTTTGTGTGAAGGTGTCAAATTGATGCCCGGTAAGGTACCCAAAATTTGGCGGCGCTGCGCGCCGCCGTTTTCTCGCTATATAAGAAAAACCACAGGGGGGGGGCCAAAATGGCCCCCCTGATGCTAGTATAAATGATGCTAGTCTAAATCAGATGCTAGTCTAAATCAGTGATTCGTGTCGAAATGCGTGCTCCAGTGTCGAGTTGTTAGAGTGCCTGTCGAGATAAGGTGCCCCTGCCCGCTGCCGTATTTGAATGAACGGATGCCGATTCGGATTGAAAAAAGGTGTACATTGCCAATGTTGTTCATAATATAAAATGTGCCACCGGCTATCTCAAGTTCCCAGTCTGATGCAGTAGAGCGCTATGGATGCTTCACACGATGCTGTGAGCCATATGATATTCCATGCAATCTCTGTAGGTTTAACTTTGACCATTCCAGTCACTTAGACATAAATGAATATTATATTGCAGTGCTCAGGCCAACGAGATCACACACTGGTGAGAGTCTATGGGCCGTACTGATATGCTGTGCCTTCAATTCCAGTGGAGTTGACTTCCGGTGTATCATGCGCTTAACCCTCGCCCTGGCAGGGGGGTCGATGCGACCCCCCCTAAGTTTTTTCGAAGATAGCGTAAAAACGGCGGCGCGCAGCGCCGCCAAATTTGGCACAGCCTATGGGGCAACCTTTTTACATATGACCTGAAAATTTCAGGTCCGGGTGACCTTGGGTCAGGTCACCAGGTCAGAAAAACCGGTATAAGGTCATGGTCAAATTTCAATTTTCTTTTTGCACCTGTCCAGCTCACAGTTTTGGACTGATTTCCTTCAAACTTGCAGGATGTGCTAAGTTCACCGAGTTGTATAACATATAGTTCGGGTTTTTTGAGGTCACTGACCTGAGGTCAGTTAGAGGTCATTACGTCGTAATGTTAAGCCTATGGGAAAATACTAAATTCGGAAAATACTGGAGATATCCGCTTCGTTCTGTCACTTTTGTGCTTTGAAACCACAGTACTTAACAGCAGGTCACTTGGTGCTTCTTTTTTGGTGTACTTATCCATGGGTCAGGTCAAATGAGGTCAACTGAGGTCAAATGACGTTTTTGCCAATAACTTGGCACATAATGACGCTAGAGCTTAAAAAATGGTATCATTGTGTTCCTGGTGATCAGCCGAATCGAATGATATGCGATATGACGCAATTTAGTTAACTTGAACTTAATTCATTAATTTAAGTTTACTTAAAATTTAAGAAAAACTTTAAGTACACTTAAGCAAGCTAAAAAGTATATCATTCGACGCGCCTTGACGTGCTGAGTTCACTGAAGCTTTTCTTTTTGCTCTATCTTAATTAGATCAAAAGTTATAAGCGAAAAACTTTTGACCTGTTTTTAGCGAAATTTTTACATTTATACCCCCCAAACCCCCCTAAATATTGACCTAGAGCAACCAAATTTGCACAGGGGCGAGAACTCCAAGGGGCCCACCTACCTACCAAATTTGGTGTTTCTAGGTGCCATAGGAGCCAATCGCGAGGGGGGGTCGCATCGACCCCCCCCCCCCCCTGCCAGGCCGTGTTATGAAAAATGCCCTGCCAGGGCGAGGGTTAAAATGGCAAACGTTATAGAAACCAGCTCAGCCCATGTTTTGTCCATATGCTTATTTACCCTTCAACGCTCCCGTTGGTATTATATCCCGCGAGTTGCTGGGGGGAGGGGGGGCGTTAAACGCCCCCACTTTTTTCGCTGGGCCATAGCATAAAAACGGCGCGCCGCAGCCGCGCCAAAATTTGGGTACCTGTAGGGAATTGATTGAAGTTTATTGTGCCAAAGTCTTAAAAAATCGGTAGGAAAGTTTTTGAGATATCGAGGTTTTAGTGACGTCATGATTTCTGAGTTTTCGACCAAAAACGGCATATGTTCAAAAAATCATATAAAATCACAGAATAGACATACAGACATGCCGTAAACGCCATTAGACTGCCAATACCATGAACAACCAAATGGCTATCTTCGATTATTGATTATCGTTCCGAATTTTCCAAAAACTTGAACTGAATCTTGGCAATTTCTCGTGACTACTTCACAACCATGATACATGCATTTCTTAGCCCTATTAGTGGCAGGCTCCTGGCTACCCCTATTAGTGGCAGGGGGGGGGGGGGGGCTGTTTACGACCCCCCCCCCTTGATATCTCGAGATCTAACGGGCCGATTCTCAAAATTCAAACGGCATTCGATTTCGCTCAACGTGATCTACATTTCTAAAAAATAAGAATTAAAAAAATGTCAATAGGGGGGGGGGGGTAGAGGGGGTAAAAACGGGCAAATTGCAGATACATTTTAGACTGTTTATCACGGCCAGGTTTCTGAACCAATCTTAACGCAACTTTTGCCGATCGATAGAGAATGAACCAGGAATTCACATGGATCCTAAAAAAGCATTTTCAAAAATCATAGGCGGATACAGATCATTGAGATTGGGGGTACACAAAAAGTATAGTAAATAAGGTTTTTTGTTGGTACTGTTTCTAAAAAGGGTGGTAATGGTCTTGTTATGTTACAATTTTTTATGAGAGAACGACTACAATTGTATTGGTCATGCATAGGCGGTGTCAGGGCACCTATGTTGGGAGGTAAAACATAACCCCCCTTTTTGGACGCCTGGATCCGCCTATTATAGCAAAAACGTGTCAAAAGAGGATGCACAATAACTGTATATGTTATCACATGATACCTTTCATTCACTGTTCGTAAAACTGGTGCAGCATCGTGATCTTCGCCCAAATGACTCGCTTCACGAATAGGACCCCCCAATTCCCAGTGCTCTGGAGCCGTCCCTGGTAAGGTTATGAACTTGAAATTTTCAGGGAATGTGCCCAATTTAGTTTTAGGAAAAGTCAGAAAATTTCAGCATCGTAGCTTCAGCGGTTTCGGAGATATTCCCGAAAAACCTGAGGGGTGGATGAAAACACCCCCCCCCTGCCACTAATAGGGTTAAATTGAACTTTTTGAGCCAAACACGTACACATATGATAAAATGAATGTCACCATCGTGTTTTACGCCCAAAATTACCAATAAAACATGTGTCACAGGCTGCGAATATCAGTTTTGATTTTCGGGGATATGTGCCTACCCGGTTGACCTGACCTTGACCCTGACCTATGCTTGACTGACCCCTACATGGAGCTGACACTCTTGTAGGCCTTATATGAAGGATTGTGCACCGTTTTGACAGAGTTTATGACGAGAGGCGCCCATTGCGAAGTCCTGAAGTCCATGCTACTGAAAGCCCGATTTCAGGTGTTTGACCTGACCTTGACCCGACCTGTGACCTCAAAATTCAACTTTAAAGAACTCATCTGAAGCGTCTCGTCGCGTTCTTTCGTTCGCCACCTCGTGCGTTTCGCTGCGCCTATTGGTTCTCGAGTTATCGGCTGGGGGCGTTTAACGCCCCCCCCCCCCCCCCAGCAAACGGTGGGTGGCGAAATACTCCAGCAACTGCCGGGATATTTATTGCCTTGGCCTTGTACTGAATTGTTATGTACGTGTTCATTGTTCATGCACTGTCCATAGGTATGTGTGTTTAGTATTCTACAATTAGCGTCATTGAACTAAATAAGGGAGTGGGAAATATTGTTCCAACCAGTCTACAATAACCCCTGTAAGTGACCACGGTCCGACTACGGACACAATCTTTTGTGTCGCCTTCTCCCATTGTGGATGAAACATTGCACACGGAGCAATAGCGTAAATGCTTCGTTCGTCTCTCCGACGAGTAGTTTTGGTAAAATTGCATAAAACGGTCGTCAATATCCTTTCATAGCCTGATTAAAAAGAGTTCACACCTCTGGAATGACAGTACTACATACTTGGAATGAAAGTTGTTTTAGATATTGCTATTGTTATTACGCAGCATTAGGATGAAGAACGATGCAGTCTAGCTAAAAAATCTGCCCGTCCGTCTGTCCGTCTGTCTGTTTGCATCCATGCATTTATTAATCTCCAGCATATTATCTGTCAGTGGATGCATATTCTTCTGTGACGTGATCGTTTTCATTTTCAACGTCCCTGTGCCCGTACTCCAATGTATACCTCCAACGGATACGGTTATCGCTGAGGTTATTGCGGTCTATCCAGACACACATAAAATAACTGCCGGCGCCGTCCGGCCGACTGACCTGCTGACGGCTGCTACCTCTGTCTGGGTCAGGACAGGGATGTCGGTGAGGTGCCGGGTGTCATTAAGGTGCACCGTATCCAGCTGGGAGCAGCTGCCGAGGGCGGGTAGCACAGTGACGGAAATGACGCCCGCTCCGTGAAGAGTGACGTCCTTCAAGCTGGTGAGGGCAGCCAGGAGGCGTCCCGTCGCTTCCGGTGTCACGGACGGTGACACTGTGAAACATTAAGACAGACACACATACTGACTGGAATAGCTGGAACTGAAGATCAATAATATTCATAGCAAGATATATGTACTTAGAACTAACCAGTAGGACACCTTTTTTGGGAGATGAACGAGCGAGAGCAATACAGGAATAGTGGAATAGCGCAGTAGTAAGATCCAACTGCTTTATATGGGCCATCCTTCCAACCATTCCACAACATCGTAGCAGCCTCGAGTGCAATCTAGCCCGTCGCTCTTGAGAATGAGATGCATTAGCATTTAGCATATACCATACTCATACATAATAGCCAAATGCATATACTCATTAGCATGATCAGTACGATATCTGGAGCTACGTTTCGTCAATTTGATCAAGTGCAGTAGTAAGCAGAACATACGAGCCACGTGTTCCCTACATAGGTCATGGCAATTGGGCAGTGGTCGCGATATCTTGGCACTTATGCTCTGCTCGTGTTGGTGTTGCTCACCACTCATGTATAGCCCGGTGACTGTGTGGGTCGCCAGGACAGCCAGCTGGTCCAGGAGTGTGTCCGTTGCTAGCTGTACACCGACCAGCAGTCCCCCCGACGGACATCTTCCGTATTTCACCGGCTCCCGAGTCATCCCCGACCCTGTGGAGAGGGATATAATCACCTATCAACACTGTGTATAGGAAAGAACATTAGTCTGACACTATGTGAGTCAGCTTATCAATAGATAACATTCGTGTAGGTGGCATTAAAATCACCTGTCTCCCTAGTCTTATACTGATTGTTATTGACATATTTTCATTATTCATTTGCTTTCATCGTATTCTAGTTCTTTAGACACATTTTTGTTGATTTGATTTTAAGTGTATTGTGCTATTTTGTTGATTTGATTTTAAGTGTATTGTGCTAAGATAATTAATTTAGCTTGCATATTTGTTGATAGTATGTTTAACGCGCATTGTGTTATCGATGTCTCTAGTACTGATCAGACCTCGGCCGGTTTAGGTGCTAATAAGCAAAGAAGTATAACCGAACAAATTCGCCCTTCACTTCTTTACAGATTTCTTCCTCTCAACACACAAACATGCAACAATTTCAGGGGAGTTCATTCTTTCCTTTTTCGGCTATGCCATTCTCGAGATCCAGTGTCGTAAATATGTGTCAAGGTCAACGCGACGGCAGGGGCGCAGCCAAGGGGGGAGTACACACTGGGCTTTTACCCCTCCCCCCAAATCTAGCTGGCGCCTTCCAAGATCATTTCGGGGCGCCGAAGGCGCCTTTCCAGCACTCTAGGCGCCCTCGACGGTAAGCTAGCTCCATTGTGGTAAACCATGCGGCACTGGCGCCCAGGTGTGCAATTTTATATCTCTTTGTGGGTGAAGTCTGCAAGACTGCCGCGCGTCGCTTCCGTCTGAAATACGTAAAATAAAAAGGTAGTTTTCGTCTGGAATACCTAAAATAAAACGTAGTTTAGGTGGACTAAGGTCGCGTGACCTGCACTGACCATGTAAGGGCAAAAACGAGTGTACATTTTGTCATTCTTGCTAGGCATTGATAGCGCCCTCCTGAGCCGAAATTGGTGCCCTCACCACTTCATGCCCCCTCCGAAACTTTATCCTGGCTGCACCTCTGCGCGACGGTGCTAGAAACTTACGTGTTCCACCAGCACCATACGACCACTCTGAACTCTCACCAGTGATGTCCAGTCTCCTCAGCGACTTGGGCAGCAGGCGCAGCCACTTGCCGGAGCTGTCCACGGGTGGGCTCACATCGAGCCGCTCCAGAGCCTTCAGCGGCTCCAGCAGCGCCTCCAGCTGCCATTCGCTGATGTCGGCCGGCAGCGTCAGCTCACGCAGACTGGAAGCGTTGGCACGCGCCAGCCGGCGGAGGGCAGAGACCCGCAGCTTGAAGCCGCGTAGGTTGGCCTTCTCTAGAGCGTGGCAGGTGGCCGCTGGAATAAAACAACACCGGTCAGTGAAGAAGTGCTCGCTCATCATATTGACAAGGAATGACAGTTACAGCAGAGTACACCGCACCAGGTTGTGTGCAGTGCATCTCAAACAGGACTCACCGACCAGTCGGAGGTCGGTGTCCGTCTCAGCGGTCGGCGCCAGCAGTTCGGTCATCTTCGGCTGGTCCTGCACCTTCAACACGAGCTCCAGGCTCGTGGCCGGCGCAGGGACCTCTCCACCGCGGGTTTTCTGATCGGTTAGCTCCCGCCGACAGTCGCCGACGATATCGTCGACAGCGGACCGCCATCGACGGCAGACTGTCAGCACCGACGGAACAAAAATGGAGATCGGGTGGCATATCAGCGACAAACATCAGAGTCAAAGTTCAAATACAGACAGCGTTAGAAATTCTATAAAATATAACATCGATATTCCATATCATGGCAACCAGCATTCACACATCTACATACAAGCCCTTTATTGGTGTTTTGATATCTACCCAGACTTTCCCAGTGCTGAATTATCAGTTCGATAGGTGTTATCACAAGTATATTCGTGGCCATTGGGGCGACGTAAGAAAAGAAGAAAACAACTGGCCCCAAGAACTTTAAATTATCAGTTAGCATGCACCTTTTCCTTGATGTGTAGATAATTGACCATTAATTGTAAGAGAACATTGCATTTAAAATTTTCCATTTATGCTTTTTTCATCGTATGCACAATATGTTCTTTTACTAAGCTAGAAACACTAATTAGAAATAGTTCCCGCATCATCGTCAAGAACAATAGGGAATGCTTGAAGTAAATACAATAATCTAAACGGTTTTGTAATCTATGTGGAGACACTTCTAAAATTGCCAGTAGAAATACTGAAGGAAAAAGTTCAACTTTTTCACAAGACTGATGTCTATAAACCTATTCAACGTGTGACAATTCAGCCGGTATATATTTCGTCGCCTACAGCCCAGCTTTCCCTAGTGACCGATAGAGGCGCTGCTATCGATGTCCGCCCGTGCCGCCTAACGTGGCTAAGGAAACACACCACATACATCGACTCGGATAATAGTTATTGTGACATACGACCTCGCCAGTCGCCAGGACACTCACCCCGTCTGGCGCGGAACATATCCCTACAGTCCATCTTGCTCATCACCATCTTCAGCAGCTCGGTGTCCAGGTGGTAGATGTTGGCCTCGCGAGCCGCAGGCGGCCTACGCTTACCAGACGCCGGCCCCGCCTCCTCCGTAGTTGGGGTGACGTCACAACTGGTGGTGGCGTCACACTTGTCACAGGTGTCGGCCTTCAGTGAGGCCACCTCTTCGCCGTCACTGTGGTGAAATGACGTCAGAGTGAAGTAGTAAGACGTCATCTAAGGTCAGTCATAAGGCGATAATTTCGAGATGTCTTCATTTTACCGAGACAGCACCGTATCATGGGCCCACGTAGGTAAGCCCATCCAGTGTCTTACAGACAAACTGTATACACAACCGGGTTGGTTCTTACAGACAAAATGCCCACACAACCAGGTTGACTCTTACAAACTGTCTACACAACCGGGTTGACTATTACCGACAAACTGTCTACACACACCAAGTGTCATCCCTTGCAGCCAAAGGCGGCTGCCTCTAATGTTTACCCTTATATTTGCCCCCCCCAGTGCCACCCCTGCTGCCTCTCAGTCTCACCTCTGGGGACGGTCGGATGGCGCCGCTCGCCGGCGGACCTCCTGCCGCAGCTCCTCCACGACGACCTGGCGAGTGGTGCGCTCCTCGAGGACAGCCTGCCGCAGGCGGACCACCTCTTCACGTAGATGGACCACCTCCTGACGCAGTGTGGCGTTGTCTCCCTTCAGTGTGGTCACTTCTCCCTTCAGTGTGGCGTTGTCTCCCTTCAGTACGGCGTTGTCTCCCTTCAGTGTGGCCACTTCTCCCTTCAAACCAGCCATCTCTTCACGAAGAGCAGCCAGCTCTCCGCACAGATCTTCTAAGTCCATCTGGAACACAAATGATAAGTAGGTACAGTCCACAGCAGAAGTAATGTGGGGTTTCAGTCATGGGTATGTTCTGCTTCTGAAGCTTAGGAACGATTTACCAGACTACAATAAAACTTTGAATGTAGCTTATATGTATTGTCACCCTTGCAGCTGCAACTTTAGCTACTGACATCTTCTTTTCGATCACTTCGCATTAAAGGTAGTGTGCCAGCTTTCTTGGACCATATGGAGTTAATGACCCGGATAAGGAGAACCGGATTTTTAGAACTTATCCATACCTTCAAAACTTATGGAAACGTCTTAAATTCTTCAAATTTTGAGTACCCCAGTGCGAAATTCGCCCCGACGGGTTGTCGGTCGTACCCCAACCACATTTCACACCACTATGAACAATAAATGCACACACTAAAATCGCTATTACCGATAGGCTCATCCAATCAAGTTTCGATAAACCCGTTCATCATCATCTCCTGCGGTTTCGAACACGCCTGTTAGGTGGCTTCTGATGCTCGTCGAGGTCGGAATTTCCAAATACGCGTGGTGCGTCGGGCCGCGCGCTCTGACTTCGGCCAAGAAAAATGCGTCAGCTGATCATTGTCATTTCTGCCACTTGCGTGTGGTGTAATGGGGTCATAACTTAACCCTCGCATGTGTAGGGGGGGTCGGATGGACCCCCCCCATGGTTTTTCGCGAATAACTCGCGTAAAAAGCGGCCGATCGCGACGAAACTTTCAGTACTTTCGCATTGATCAATTTTACACCTACCCTGAAAATTTCATGACCCTGACCCAAATGACCTTTGACCTGTGACCTCTTTTCCGAGACCATGTTTGGCCGGAATCGCGATTTCGCGTATATGTCGGCTCGCACTAGCCGCGTGTTTGCAAGCTTTTCGTGGTTTCAAACGTTCAAACATGTGATTTGATGTTACTCCCGTGTGTGTCAAGGTCACCTGAAGGTCAGGTCAGGTCATTGACCTTTGGTGACCTCGGGTGACCTCGGGTCACTTTTTCGAGTTTTACATGTTTCTAGGCTAGTTTTTGGAGCTGAATTCGAATTTAGCAACCATTTGAACATTTACGAAGTAGTTTTGGTGACTTCGTAACATGTTACGAAGCTGTCAGAGGCGGTTGACACGTACTACGAATACCCGTCACGACGCCTACTGGTTGACCTGACCTGACCTGACCCGACCTGGTCTAAATGCTTCAAGACATCATCTGTGATCAAAACTAACACGATATTCGTGATCAGCACCCCGAAAAACCCCTTAGCAGCCACACTTTACGACTTTCTAACAGGTCCCGATTTTCCCGACTTTGGGTCATTGACCTGACCTGGAAGGTCAACCAATGACCTAGGACCTTAAAATTGGGTATCATCGGCTTCCTCTCGGCACGGGCAACACGCTCGTTTTTTCCGCGAAGCTCTAGCTCGATCAGGGGCCAAACGGCAAGGGGGGGTCCAACCGACCCCCCCCCCCCCTACACATTAGAAGCTGGCAAACGCCGCACACATGCGAGGGTTAAGAGACGGCTGTTTCATATCAATTATTTTACATAAAATCATATTTCAAACCACAAATTAATGTTCGACAGCCAAATTTAAGAAACAATACCAATACAGGCTTACAGTTTAAGGCTCGACATTGTGTTGCCTACGATTAGACAGCTGATAACTCATTCCCGTACGTCGTATGGTCGTAACACTATAATGACCTTTGCTTATTGTCACAAGTGCGCCGCATTCGCGATTGTTGCCCGACGCCTGTTTGCAGGTGAGCCCACTACAGTTGTTATACATATCTAAAAACCGATAAACTTTTAGGCGAAAAAGGCACTATTCCAGGCCCATTTTTGATTTTTTTTGCGATATTAGGTAAAAACAGAAGCTTCTTACCCAGCCAGCAATTCGGTTGGGGAAAGTGCGGGGACAGTGTTGGGGAAAGCTTGGGGAGAACGTACAATTCCCCTATCGGATCGGGGAACGGTCTGTGTTCCCCATCCCTTCCCCGACTGTATCGGTAATATGTTCAAAAGACATGGGGAAATCACACCGATCCCCGTACGGGGAAAGAGCAGCATTCCCCAATCAAACCCCACTGTTGGGGTTCGGTCGGGTAAAAGATCAGATTCCCCGTACGGGGAAGGGTGCGTTATCCCCGACCCATTTTCAAGAACAGTTTGATTGGGGAAAAGTAGGGGAACTGTTGAAATTCCCCGCTCGGGATTTTACACTTAATCCCCAGACGAATCCCAACCGCCAGTAGGACGTCTTGAGATCGACTTCCAGCATGTAATATTCAATAAAGAAAAATTGAATCTTGGTAATGTTAAAAGCAGTCTAAGGAGCAGTTCTAGAGCTATAGGCTCATGCATCGATTGAAGGGAGATATAATAAATAAAAAATATAACGATATAACGATTTTTATAATCGTTTTCATGACAGGTGATCTGGCGAATGCATCAAACAGTGACCAAATTTGCACCAAATCTCCTTTTCATATCTTCATATCATATAGGTACCTATTTATTTCAGTGTTTTAATCGAAAATAATGTCTGATAATTTTATCAAATCGGCACCGTATCTGGACCAAATGTCTACCAATTGTGTACCAGTTACCTATCATGAAAACGGTTATTCGCAGACATTTGATTGTAGACATTGGATCTATGTAATTTTCGACCTAAAAGAGAGGAAAAGCCGTCTTGGTTTACGGGGCCTGCTAAGCCGTGTGGATGAGGACACGCATACGCCATTACTTTGAACGAACGTTGGTGCCCTTATTTCATGAGGTAAAAACAACTTTGACAACTTTCAGGATCTATGTTTCTTCTCGCACTGCTGTGGCATAAACATTACGTTTTCTTTCTTCTGTCATCACTCATCGCATTGAAATTGCAAAAGCATTAAAATTTCAACAACACACTGCTTACGACTTAGAAGTGTCGCCTCAACGCAGCGAGGGGAGGGGAGGGAGGGGTAGCGACGGCCGGCCGCCGTCGCGTCGGTTCCGTCCGCACATCTGGTTGAGGGGCGTCTCCTGTCGCCATCTGTCATCGTGAATGGGGCCGTGCTGACGCGTCAGACGGGACGAACGGGGGAAGTCGGTCCAGAGTCACTGCGCCGCGCGGTTGTGTGAGCAAGCCGTGGGCTAGGTACCGCTCCAGGTCAGACAATGGTTGGCACTGAAGAGTGCGGTGACACTACAGAGCTGTGAACGAAGACGGTGAACGGCGAGATGTGGTGACCGCTTGACTGACCTGTGCCCAAAGTCGTGATCTACCGCTGGGGTCAGTGCGTGAGAAGCTGGACTCGGCAACAACGGAGGACGCAGATCGACGAGGAAGATATGCTGTGTTGGTAATGAACTAAAGCACTTAATTGTAACGAATCATGATAGATATAAAATGACGATGATACTAACTCAAATTTATTGTAAAAGACAAAGCTTCCGATACACACAATATCTTGATCACTGTCTAGGGTATGCAGAATATGACGTAAAAATGACTGAGGTCATCAACCTCCGTCTGAGATTATCCTTAAATTGCCCGGACAATATAATGTCATCAGCCTAATGCTTTATCTGCTTCTGTTCTAGAGGGACGTCTGCCGGTTACGACCGGAAGGCTTCCGACGGTCTTGGCAGAACCCACAACAGCAGTATGAACCCGGCGTGGAGTTAATGCGTAATTGCTCGCATGAGCAACCGAAGAGCGACTTCCAGGCGAAGCTGGTAAGCAGTTTATGGGGGTGGGGGTTAGCTTAGAGCTGTTGAACAACCTGTCCTTCACCCAAGTCTAAAGGCTGAGACACACTCTTTCTACAGCCAGAAAATCTCATGCGAGAGCCCATTAATTAAATACATGAAATCACGATCGCTTACATATTTATACAGGGATGTGCGAACGATTGACGCGATTGTAATAAATACATGTATTTGAATAGGCTTTCGCATTCCATTTTTTTTTTTTTGTCTTCGGAAAGAGCCTGTTTCAGCAGCTCTACTAGACAGCTCTGTTTGTGAAAGGAACTTCATTGCTATCTTGATAAACTAGCAACCGATTTTAATTGTCAAACGGCGTTCATTTATCTGTCAAGTGCTTTCGCGAGGAACTTCGTAAGGCGTAATATAGACGTAAAACATTTATTACCTAATGACTTTCCTGGAATGAGAAATGTTTAGAAGTACAAATTTAATTATTGAATTTTTATTTCCTCTTTTAATTAACTATTCAAAGTATATCACATTCATTTTTAAGCACTTTTCGTGGGAAAAAGCTATAAATAAGTGTAATTTCATAAGATGGCATTCAACATGTTTTAGCGTAAGCTGAAGTTTCCATAAAAGGACATTTCATGTAGTAGCTAGCTGTAAAACCTGATTGATATACCTACAAGTGCACATTTTTTGTTTTTGTCCACAGCCGCAGAATTCCTGGAGATGCGCTGGGACATGGATCATAGCAAGGTGGCTCTCAGCGGCAGCTGACCGCTGAGATGTGTCTGAAACAGCCAGAAGGAAGACTCGAGTTGTGGATCCAGGGCACTACTGAACGGAAGGCCGGACCAGCTGTAGGGAGACTACAGAAAAGCCTTCGTTCTCAATCTGCTGAACAGACTCCTACTGCAGAGGATCAACTGGGGTTCGACGTGTTAGAACTGGGGTTAGACCGGTTACCAGTGCTCGTGTTCGTCACCTGTTGTTTGTCACTGCTGCGCTGCTGCTGTAATGTTTGCCACCTGCTAAGCGTTCACAATGTATTTTAAGTGAATAATAACTTTTTTAGTGTTTGTCTTGATTTGTAACGAGTATATCAATTATCAAGCATGTTAACCTTTCATCAAATGAAGGACTCCACATAAAAATAGTATAGGCTGTGGTAGTACAGACACATACCATGCTTGGCCGACTGTTGTGTATTGATCTAGTCGTTGAAGCGTCCTGAAAGTCTGGAAATAAACAGGCATGGCCAAATGGATTGGATCTAATTATTTTCCTGTGTGGTTTTATCGTTTCTCTATTGCGGGGAAACAAGTGGACAATTTTGTTTGTATGTAAACAAGTATGTTTATACAAATATTTGTATGTTTACAGACAAAATAAATAGTCATTGTCAATTTTAATGGGACCCGATTTGTTTCCCAGTGCGGTTTATTACTGGCTTCTCCGTACGGGAAAAAAAGCAGACAAGGCAGTAGGGCCATTGCCAAGTCGGGGAACGGCCGGGGCTCGCGCGGGGAAAAGGTCTGGGAACGTTAGGGGAAAATCACGGTTTCCCCGATCGGGGAAGGTCTCCAGCAAGTATAAACCCGTATAGCCGGGTGGCGGAATGTGCGGGGCTCGCACAGGATCTTCTTGGGGAAAATGTTCGATAACCCCGTACGGGGAACCGACCTTAACAACGGGTTTTAACCATAGTCGGCGCGGGGGTAGCCTGGGGGACGTTTGGGGAACGCTTGGGCAGTTATACCGTTTCCCCGTACGAATCCCGCACAAAGTTCCCCGTACAAAGTGTCTCAAATCCCAAGCGAACGCTCCGTTTTCCCCAAGAGAACGGTTGGGGTTTCCCCGAGCCTGCCCCAAGCTCGCCATAGGCCTTCCCCGTACGGGGAAAGCTCCGATTTGCTGGCTGGGTATCCTAGGAAAAATAAAACGGGAAATCTTTCAAAGGTGGCACACTACCTTTAACCCGGCAGTTGCTGGGGTATTTCACTACCCACCGTTTGCTGGGGGGGGGGGCGTTAAACGCCCCCAGCCGATAACTCGAGAACCAATAGGCGCAGCGAAACGCACGAGGCGGCAAACAAAAGAACGCGACAAGACGCTTCAGATGAGTACTTTAAAGTTGAATTTTGAGGTCACAGGTCGGGTCAAGGTCAGGTCAAACACCTGAAATCGGGCTTTCAGTAGCATGGACTTCAGGACTTCGCAATGGGCGCCTCTCGTCATAAACTCTGTCAAAACGGTGCACAATCCATCATATAAGGCCTACAAGAGTGTCTGCTCCATGTAGGGGTCAGTCAAGCATAGGTCAGGCCTCAGGGTCAAGGTCAGGTCAACCGGGTAGGCAAATATCCATGAAAATCAAAACTGATATTCGCAGCCTGTGACAAATGTTTTAACCCGTGACCTGGTGGGGGGGGCTATTTTTTGCCCCCCCCCCCCTCTAGACTTTTCGATATATCTCCAGAACCGCTGCGCCGATCGTCACCAAACTTTCAGTACCCTCCCGGACATCAATTTTACACATTGTGACCAAAAATTTTTCGAAAGGCTATGATAGGTTGGCCGGAAATGACGTCAGAGTGACGTCATGTTCTGCCGTTTTCGACCCAAAAAAGGGTTTCGCGGGAAGAGCTGTCAGGCCTATAGCTTTGCAAATACGGAAAAATGATAAAGACATAAAAGCTGTAGAATCAACAGGGCTACAAAACTGCTATCTCGGATTTTTGAATTTTTTGGATTTGGACCCCCAAAAATCAAAAAATAATTGTTTTGGATATAATAATCGAAAAATCCAAAAAGTTTTTTGAATTTCGCAAAAACCGGAATATATGTGATAGTAATTACTGCCTTCCATCTACATACCAAATTTGAGATTGATACCTCTTTTTTTGGCGAAGTTATAGCGAAAAAACTGTTCAAAATTGATGACGTCAAATTTTTAAACTCAATTTGTAGCAATTCTAGACCCCGTAGCGCAAAACAAAGACCACCATTAGACTCCCCGTGACGAGCTGCATCGAATCAATACCCATTTTATGCAAAAATATCAACTTTAAAATTTGACCTTTTTTGGCCTAACCTTGACCTGACCTTGACCTGACCTTCACCAGAAAGTGACCTAAGCCGTACCTGATAGTCTTATAACCAACACCATTGAGTTGGAAATGAAAAATTGGCCATAAAACATGCATCACACAACCTTAGTAAAGTTGGGCTCATGTGACCTGACCTGTGACCCTTGGTGACCTGACCTGTGACCTGACCTGGTATTGTCAGTGACCTCTAATAGCAACATATCTACTAGGCAACTGACGCCCTATCGCTGATTATCGACAAAATGCGTTTTCCTCGGTGTTATAGCGCATTCCTTAGCAGACCCGTGAACGGTGAAACAGTTCATCTTTGACCTGACCTGTGACGTCATCGGTGACCCTGAGGTCAATGAAATTTGGTTTTCCTCGACAAATTTGACAGGCTTTTCGAACGCCGTTTGAATTTTGCGGATCCGTCCAGTAGTTTCGGAGATACGAGGGGGGGCAAAAAATAGCCCCCCCCCCCACCAGGTCGCGTTATAAACAGACCCCACCAGGGCGCGGGTTAAGGGTAATTTGGGGCGTAGAACACGATGGTGACATTCATTTTATCATATGTGTACGTGTTTGGCTCAAAAAGTTCAATTTAAGAAATGCATGTATCATGGTCGTGAAGTAGTCACGTGAAATTGCCAAGATTCAGTTCAAGATTTTGGAAAATGCGGAACGATAATCAATAATCGAAGATAGCCATTTGATTGTTCATGGTATTGGCAGTCTAATGGCGTTTACGGCATGTCTGTATGTCTATTCTGTGATTTTATATGATTTTTTGAACATATGCCGTTTTTGGTCGAAAACTCAAAAATGATGACGTCACTAAAACCTCGATATCTCAAAAATTTTTCCGAAAGATTTTTTTTGAAACTTTGTCAAAATACACTTCAATTAATTCCCTACAGGTACGCAAAATTTGGCGCGCCTGCGGCGCGCCGTTTTTATGCTATGGCCCGGCAAAAAAGTGGGGGCGTTTAATGCCCCCCCCCCCAGCAACTCGCGGGACAATCGCCAGTCAAAGCCAACCGTTGAGATTGGTAAAACCCTACATTACTTTAGCGGTGGGCTGTACCTATCCTAGGCTTCCAGATAATCAGAAGAAAGAGACAATGACAAACAAATCATCTGTAATCTGTGAAACTAATTACACCTTTTTTGCATTTGAATTCAACCATTCGCCATAACTCTTTGAGTAGCCATTTCGACAATCGGCATTGAGCACAACTATTCCGGCGTTGCGTGTTTCATTTCGGCCATTTAGCAAAACAGATTGAACACTGAAATGAGCGATCTACAAAAACAAAACAGTTTGACACTTCTCCAGACTTCGTCATTGAGCGAGCCAGCTTCGAGCTCGGCATATGACGAATAGTTTCGACCATTGACGATTTGTTTTTGCACAATGTTGAGCCATCCGCTCAATGTCGAGTTGTAGAGGAGGACCACCGGATAGTTTTGCACAATGGTGTTTATTTGTGACCAACCGCCCATTTGTAGCGCCACCTTTATGGCGAATGTGTACAAATGTTTTGTCTAATATGTATAGTCAAAAGCTAACGCAAAAAGGTGCAGTACTTCTTGAAAGCATTGGTGTGAGTTCCGCTACGCGGGGACCCGAAAAAAACTACTCTGTTGATGTTGATGACCATAGAAGCGATGTCGTGACCTGTATCATACACGAATCGTACCTACGCTAACGGTAGTGCCTATTATCTACGGCGTAAACTACTCTTGCATGAAATTAGGCATCGCCACAGCCTAACAGCTGGGCTAAAACAGCTAGCTAGGAGACCGGCCAAAGGTCGTGCTGTCTTAGCTCTCCGTTGACCCCGTCCACCGCCTCAGGCGGATACCGGCGCCGCTGGGGCTCACCTATCGGGCGATCATTGCTCTGTCTCAGTATACCCCGTCACTTTACAGATAACTTGTCACACAGATAACAGATAACAGTCATAACAGACGCCGACGGTGAACGACTTAAACGCTTCAAATTGCTGAAAATTAGGTAGAGTATAAATAAAAAAGCAGATTTTCTTTACCACCAATCTTATATCTTCATCATCCCCTATACGGGTTCCCATAGCATACCTATCTATGCAACAGGAAAATATAGCCGTTTGGCTGTGACGTGCCTCGACTAGATACCTACAAAGTGCCGAGTCGATATGTTTTTCTTTCTCGGACACCCGGCTGTTCCATATATCCAAAGATTACCTGTACAGCGATTTCCAGTCAACAAGACTCCTCCGCGTCCCAGATCTCCCGGCTCTCTACTTCTCTCGAGTTAACTAATTTATTAATTACTATTATAAGCTAATGATCCTGACTCAGCGGACCTCTGACCACATACCTTCTTCTCGATATTTTTTCAGCCTAGTATTGCGATTCGGCACACGGTGTATATAACGAAAATAATACGTGCGTTTTTCTTACTTTTCGGTATCAGAAACAAGCTGACACGTCAACGTGAAATGCTACATCGTGGAATCATATGCATGGATGTGTGTATGAAGGCCATTGCCTGAATATGACTTCAATTGACTTATAAGTTTTACAGCTTTTGAATGTAGTTTCGGTGCCGATGCAGCATGTTATGCAGATCTGTCAATGGCAGTGAACAGGTAAACACGATAGCGGGGTGACGCCTACTAGTTGACCTGACCTGACCCGACCTTCCCCTCCCCAAATGCATCGTTTAAAACTGAGTTGATAGTAGCGAATGCCTTATCATTATGAAAATGACTTATGCTTAAAAACATGCTGAATGTAATGTCTCGCGAGGTCTCAGCAGATTGCCCCTCTCCAGGTCACTATACCTTGTCTCGGTAGGTCACACGGGGTCGGTGGACCGCCCCTCTCCAGGTCACTATACCTTGCCTCGGTGGGTCACACATGGGGTCAGAAGATCGCTCCTCTCCGGGCCACTATATCTTGTCTCGGTGGGTCACTCGGGGTCAATATATCGCTCCCCTCCAGGTCACTATACCTTGTCTCAGTAGTCACATGGGGTCAATATTGTGACGTTGGAAGTAGGGTCTTCGTCCGACGGCCGAAGAGTCGCTGTGCAGGTGAGCTCCCGATTCTCTCTGTCGGGGTGTTGCGCCAGTCCAGAAGTGCGAGATATGGATCGCGGCTATCTTCCTGAGCTTTGATCATCAGACTTTTCAGTATTTTGACAGCACTCTCTGCTTTTCCATTCGACTGTGGATAGCCTGGCGAGCTGGTGACGTGTTTAAACTCATACAGCTGAGAAAAGGATTTGAACTCTGCAGAGTTGAACGGAGGACCATTGTCACTCATTACCTTGTCAGGAATTCCGTGCCTTGCCATTTGAATCTTGAGTAGTCTCACGATATCACTTGCCCTCTTGCTGATGAGGCGATCAACTTCGATGAAGTCAGAGTAAGCATCTACTGTTACTAGGTATGAGTGTCCTTGAAAATCCATTAAGTCACATGCTATGTTCTGCCACGGCCGTTCCGGTACTTCATGTGACTTCAACGTTTCTTTTCTTTGTTTGCTCCCGTGGGCCATGCATGTTGTGCACTTTGATATGTAGTTTTCGAGGTCTTGGTTCATCCCTGGCCAGAAAATGGCTTCTCGTGCTCTCCTGAGGCAGCCTTGAAGTCCTATATGAGAGGAGTGCACGCGTTCTTTGAGTTTCTGCTTCGCTGCCTCTGGAATGCAGAGCCTATCTCCTTTGAGAACGAATCCGTCTCTCATCGTCAGTTCATCCTTGACATTATAATACTGCCTTAGATGTCCAGGCACTCTGTTCTTGTCAGCAGGCCATCCCTGTTTGATCATCAGCTGGACGTCTTGCAGCGTCTTATCCTTCCATGGTGTGTCAAAAGTGGAAATAGCCGGTGCGCCGTCTGGCAACCCGGCAGCCCGCCGCCATAGGGAAATTCATGCTTTTTGTCGCTTTTTCGCTCCCTATGAGTCACTTGATCTAATTAGAGCTTAACTAGGAACGAGGCGGGTCACTTGGACGTATTCGGGAGCCGAATACGGTGTTTTGGAGCAAATACCTGGGAAACCCTACCCGCCCAATGCGAGTTTTTAAGAGTCTACATGCCCAAATTAACGTTGAGCGCGGCCGTTTTCGGTCGGTTTTCCCCGACCTTGTGGCGAAATCGCCTTATTTATTCAACCAGGGTGGGCTAATTCGCTTAACTAGGAATGAGGCGTTGAAGAGAATTATTCAAGGAATAGAGCTGTGCAAAAATATTTTTTGTATTGTTAAAACTGTATCCGCCCTTGAACGATAAATATTGTTGACCTATCAGAAACACATCACCTGGAATGCGTTTGGACTTGGCTGGATCTAATATTAGCGAGTATCTGCCAATGCAGTTTCTTGGCTTACATAGTACGCACACAAGCATGCATACTTCCTGTCCTTGGTTATACCTCACTTGAATGAAAATTTTGTTATAATAACTATTTCAAGCAGTTAACAGGTTTTAGTGCAGTGCCAATTCGGAACCGTTCAGCGCCGCCAGTCTCCCAGGCGGCGCGTAACGGCTGCCGCCGGCGGCCGCCGCGCCGCCGCTCTGGCAGGGTGTTTGATTTCATATCTCTGTTGCTAGAAAAGTTGTGGACCGATTTACTTGATTCTTGCATGAAAAGATCCGCCATTCAATTCTTAGCAGATAACGAAAATTTGACGTCAATTGCACGATCCACTGCCCATATTGTGGTACTGCCATCTATTGACAAGGCTGGCGAACTAAAGCCGGGCGGCTATTTCCACTTTTGACACACCATGGAAGTGGCTTCTACAATCAGCTCTTTCGTCATCTTTGAGACAGGAAGCCACCCGATGATGTCCACGTCTCTCACTTCAAATTCATCAGCCGAAGCAGTCTCTCTGACGTGGCACACATGTTCAGTGGGTGCGTCAGACTCGGTTGACTCTTCATGCGCGCGGCTCAATGTATCCGCGAGATACATTTCTTGGCCTTTCTTGTACACCACTTGGAACTGAAATTTCTGTAGTCCCAGCATCATTCTCTGTAGTCTCTTTGGTGCTTTTATCAGCTCTTTCTTGAGTATAGCCTCTAACGGCTTGTGATCCGATTCCACCGTGACTTCTTTCCCTTGAGTGTACCGCTCGAACTTGTTGAGACCGTATACTATCGCCAGCATCTCCTTCTCTATCTGTGCATAGTTTTTCTCTGTCTCAGTCAACGATCTCGACGCATACGCCACAGGCTGCTCGTTTTGCATGAGGCACGCGCCTAATCCATGGTGTGACGCGTCTACCTGTACTACAACATCTTCGTTTACATTGTAGTACTTGAGGACAGGGTCACGCGTGATGATCTGTTTGATTTCTGCCAGGGCACGTCCATGGACATTTTCTTCGTAGATGAAGAGATTTTCCTTCTTTAGAAGGGCTCTCAACGGGGCAGATACTTCAGCTAAGCGCGGTGAGAACCTTTGCAGATAGTTGACCAGACCAAGAATGCGCTGAACACCTTTTCGGTCCACTGGTGGAGGCATGTTGGTCACTGCACTGATCTTTTCCGGATCCGCTTTTAGGCCGTCTGCTGTGAACATGTGGCCCATATATTTGACCTCGCTCTGTCTCAGTTTCAGTTTTTCGAAGTTCAGCTTTATTCCGACTTTTCTGCAGCGTTCCAGGAGGCAGATCAGCTTCTGATCGTGGTCTTTTGTCGCTTCCTCACTGGTTGGTCCGACTCCATACACTAATATGTCGTCTGCGATGGGACGGACGCCATCAAGTCCCTCCAGAGCAAGATTCAACCTCCTCTGGAACTCTTCAGATGCTAGGCAGATGCCAAATGGCAGACGTTTCCAGCGGAACCGGCCCCACGGTGTCCCAAAGGTGGTCAGATAGCTGCTCTCCTCGTCTAGTTCCACGTGCCAATAACCGCTCTTGGCATCACATACCGTGAATACTTTGGCCTTTGTCAGCTCCGGTAAGATGTCTTCGATAGTTGGCAGAGGAAAGTGGTTGCGTTTTATCACTCGATTGAGTGGCTTCGGGTCTATGCAGATTCGTATTCCCTTGTTTGGCTTCTGCACCGCCACCATGCTCGAGATCCACTCTGTGGGCTCTGAGACGGGCTCAATAATCCCATCGCGTTCCATCCGTTCTAGCTCGGCTTTAACTTCTTCTTTCAGTGGTTCAGGGACAGGCCTCGTTGGTAACTGCTCTGACGGTTTAGTTTCGTCTGTTTGGATGTGCAGTTTTCCAGGCAGTCTGCCGATGCCTGTGAAGACGTCCTGGTATCTAGCATGTAGATCTTCTTTTGACTTTGGAATTCCATCTTCTTTTGATTGTGGAGCCTTGTTCTCTTCCTGTGATTCCAGCGTTAAGATATTTTCTGTCCTCACGCTGATGAGGTGCATTTCCTGCAGCGTTTTTGATGCAATCAAGGGACTGAAGTCTTCACGCACGACGATGAACTCCACATTGTAGTTCAAGCCGTTCCTGGGGTTCATGACGTCCATCTTCACCTTTCCCACGGGCTTGGTGATGCTCTTGTTGAACATCACCAGTTCAGTGGTGCACGGTCTCAGTTTGCTCATCTTTTGATCACGACATGCCTTTTTGTACACATGTTGAGGTATGATGTTGGCTGTTGCACCGGTGTCCAGTTGAAACTTTTGTAGATGGTCGTTTTCCAGCAGCAGATGAGCGAAGATCTTGCCAGACACAGATCTATCTGAGATAGCCCCTACATCTAGGGACAGCACGCTTTCTGTTCCGCGACTCGTTTGCTTTTCAGTTTCGGCGAGTTCGACTGGTGCGGTCATATGCACTTCAGCCTGGTGACATCTGGAGGAGAAATGATTTTTCCGGCCGCAAGCTTGGCATGTTTGGCCCCATGCAGGACACAGCTCTTTTTTGAACATGTGTTCGCGGCCACAGAATTTGCATCTCCCATGGCGAGTACTTTGTGCTCGCTGAGACCGTCTTGGATCCGGCACCGTTGCTCGCTCCTCCTTGTATCGGAAGTCCCTCCTTTGTGTCTGAAGCTTGTGCACCTCCGCACCCTCTCGATTTGTCATACTGTTCATTTGTTTTTGGGTAGCTTCATGTGCCTTCACAACCGCGGTAGCTTTGGCCAATGTCAGATCTGGTTCTTGGAGCAGGCGTCGCCGAACCGACTCATCTGGGATCCCCAATACTATCCTGTCTCGGATCAGGCTTTCTTCCAGATCTCTATAGTTGCACGACTTCGCTAGTTTTCTCAGCTCGGCCACATATAAATCGATACTCTCACTGCTTTCCTGATTACGCAGGTTGAACTTGTATCGTTCGAATGTCTCATTTGTTTTCCCGATGCAGAATTCTTCGAACTTTTGCAGAACCACGTCGACCTTCTTCTGTTCTCCCTCATCTGGACACAGTCCATCGAGAACGTTCAACGCTTCTGATCCCAGACATGTGAGCAAGGTAGCTGCTTGAACCTCCGCCGTTTTCTCATTCAGTCCTGTTGCGATGCTATAATTATTCCATTGGCGTCGCCATGTCTTCCATGTTGCAGTCAGCGCCTCTGTATCTGTCAGTGACAACGGCGGCGGAATGGGGAATCCGACAAACCCGTTACTTGCCATTCTTGCACAGTGAATAGGTAGTAAGATACTCAAAGCTCACAGTACCTATTGTCTGAACATTACGTTAATATTATTCTTAGCGTGAGAGCTGGGTTACGCCCACTTCTGACACCATGTTTCAACGAGAGTGTTACGGATAGTGCCGGGACGTATCGCCGCAACAGGCGGCACCTTCGTCTCTTCTCACCTGGAGAGATCTGTAGTCACCCGGCAGCTGGATCATCTGACGATGATTACCTGTAC